ACAGTGTGATAGCACAGATGAGTCCAGAGGACAGCTGGGTAGCTAAATGGCAGAGGATAGGTAAGGGTGTGTTCCTCCACTTAAAGGTGCAGTGATCAATTTCTGACCATTGGGAAGCAGGGAAAGCACGCACACACACACACACACACACTCACACACAAGCAATCAAAAACATTTGTGTGTGGGTTTATGGCTCACTATGATTTCATTATGGATATTTTCTTGTGAGTAACAAGTTAGTATACCCCAATGCTGTAGAGAACAATATTAATTATGCCCTTGTCCCTACACTCAAGTATTGCCACTGTCACTTGGAATCATTTTTTAAGTCTTCATACTTGTGTACATTTTCCATCCTACAGGAAACTTCAAGCCAGGTGTATATGCTGTGTCAGTGACAGGCAGACTACCTCCAGGTATCTAAACTGCCCTGACTCAATATGAAACATAAAATATACTTGAAAAATATTAATATAATTTTTGGCTGTTTTTTTCAATAGAGGGCTTCACTAATTTTCCTTTCTCCTTTTCTAAAGGTGTGGTGCGAGAGTTGAAAAGTAGAGGAGTGATATACAAATCCAGAGACACAGCAGTGAAGACCTAAATCCAACAGCTTCCAGTTTATGTTGTCTGATTCATCACAGTCGAGCAGCAACCGCAAGACGAGACGTACAGCTGTGGGACTGTTCAATTCTTGATTTTTGTTGGGATTTGAAAAATTAACATGATGATTATATGTGAGTAAGGGGGGATGTTTTGTATTTCTTTGAGCTATTGAGAAAAATAAAAGTCTGTTTTATAGGAAATTGTCAAAATATCATTGTTTATTTTTCCGCTTCTGTATAATGTATACACACTTAGATTTACTTATTTAAGGACATGAATGAACCATGAAGGAGCACAACTCTTCTCCTCTCTTATCTTTCCAGATTTGTATTATGTAGAGGATGGATTACCCAGCAAGTCAGACATGTAATAGGATGTCCAAGGTTGATACAGTTCAGCTGGAGGTCCTCAGAAAGTTTCCAACATATGGTACTGAGTCATTTAGAACAGACCTGACTTCATTTACAAATTTAGGCTGTTTTTCTTTTGCTACAGTTTGGATTTCCATGAAAGTTTGTACAGGCTTCATTCAGTCTGCAGGTATTCATTTAACACATGTGCAGTGATGGAAAAAAGTGACAGAACATCCACACTAGGTGACAGATATACAAAAGTAGAAGAAATAAAGGAGGAAAATATTTTTTTACCGGCACTGTAAAATCACAAGTTTTAACGACTGAAATGAGAGACTGTGTATAATTTTTGGTTTGAACAAATTCCATGAAACATTCCTGTACTTCTTTATTTGCGCCACAAGACAGTGCTCTATACCTAGTACCTGAATTGTTTGCAGGACCTTTCACTCCCAGTAGGGGGAACTAAACGCTTAGTGGAGTAAGTACATTCTCGTCTATTGTCTCCAGTTCATTCTCAAAGCTTGTTTCATTTCCAGTAACTGCTGTAGCTTCTGTTTCATTGTACGATAGCCTGAAAGTTATAGGTCGTCATCCTGTGATGTGTGTATCAGGTGTAGCACTCTGCTTTTGTCTTGCGTTGCTATTTAGGGAGAACATTATTCCCAGAGGCCCCAGGCTTTGTCTAATTTCACTGTAACCTGATGGAGCGGGGTCATGCACATTAAAGACTCTTTAAATCTCTATGTGAGCACAGTGAGCTCTCGCTCTCGTCTTGTTAGATGTTATTAGTTGAGATTTTATTACACCTGGTGCTGATGTTTCGTTACAGACGTGTGGTTGGTGAAATCCCTCTGATTAAAAAAGACATGCTGAGGTTATGGTTCAGTGAGGTGAAGCAGATGGTTTTATCTCAGGAGCCTCAACTCATTAGGTGACTCGTAACGAAAGTCATTTCAAAATAAATGGATATTTACTGATTGCAGGGGTTTTGAACTCAGCAAAAATAACAGGAGTTTAAAACAGTATAACAAAGCTATATGTACACATAGCTATAATAAACACATAGCAGCAGTTTCATGTGTCTCACTTTAGGTTTCTGGACAGACCTCAGTGGAGGGAGAGATCAAATGATGTGCAACATGCCACTAGAGAAACATTTCATTAAATATCATGTTCGTTGAATCATTTTAATAAGTCAGGAGGATTTGTTTTGTGCATCTTTTTCTTAATAAATTCAAAAATAATCTGAGGAACTCATATAACACACTGCAACTTAAAATAACAGGCTATGAATACAAGTGTCTACCACTGCACCTGCACTGGTGTGATGCACTGCAGGATGTGCACGAGGGCCTCATGTTCGACTGCTCTTTGTGTTATTTGACACTGAAACTGGATCTGTATCAGAAGCAGGTTACAACAGAGTGAGACGTTTCTCTATCACCACAGAATTATTCTGTCTCTTCATCCTTTGGGACAAGTTTGCACTCAACTATAAAAGAGTGGCCTGTGCTCAAAGACAGACAGTGTTCAAAAGTATTAATACAACACAGTAAAAGTATTTCTTCAAACCTGTAAGTCTTGCTTAAATTTAAATTCAGTTTTGTTAGTGTTGCACCAAATAACAACATACATTCTCTCAGGGTATTTTTCACAGCAAGGTTGAGACCTGACAGAAATTTAGAGGAAACCACCAGCATAACCAGACTCCATGTGGGCAGCCATCTGCCTCGACTAGTTTATTCATATCAACTATAGTTTAATTCATCACATCTTGAACAATAATCCTTTCTAGTGTTCATTTTCATCAAATGTTAGTGTATAAGCTAACTTAACTTAACTGTTAGAGAAATGTCATAAAATAATCAAAAATATGACAATATTTCCTTGGACTGTGGTGGAGTAAAGGTGGAGTGAAGGTGGAGCTGATAACCGACAATCATTTCAGAAATGAGTATGATAAAAAAAAGTCTGTTTCTAAATTTAAATAATGCACTCATTTATTTGAACATCTTTGCTGCTGCAACAATGAGGTCAGGGACCGTAGCAATGAGCTTTATTATTATAAGCTCAAGTTATGATCATCATCTTGTTGCATTTTTATTTTTTAATCCTCCACTTTCTGTTACTAAGATGATGTGTTGTCACCAACAATGTTCAGACAGACATAAATGTGCATTTTTTAATGTAAATATGAATCTAAGCCCAATGGTATTAGATGAACAGGCCATCAGTCACTGTGTCAAATAAAACATCTCTTCATTCTACTGACAAGGACTCATGCCTCCTCTCATGCAGTTAGCAGCAACTTACATTTGTTTTACACAAAAACCAAATCAAAATCAATCATCACAGTGATCTGAATGTAAAGAATGTTAAATCTGTCTCATTCGCTTCAACGGAAATGAAACCTTTTGAACGGATCGTAAGTCTTGAGGCAAAGTTGATGATCAAATCAGAAATAAACAAAGTGTTAAATAAAGTGTTTTTTAAGTACACCAGTCAGTTTACTACTTAAGTTCTACTGTGTAACACGACACAACAGTTTCACACTAAAGTGCAGTTTCTATCACTTCTCCTCGTGTTCGCCTCAGATGAAGCTCAAGTTGTTTCATGAAAGCTGCAAACTAAAAACAAAACTGAGAACTCGCTGCTGTGAGACTCCCACCACCACAGGCGTTGTCAGGAAGACTTTCAACTCCGCCCGGCTCTCTACTCTGCACAGCAAGTGTCATACTGGCTTTTTCTCTCTCTCTCTCACACACACACACACACGGCCTCACACACGGCCTCATCGGTGCCTGCAACCACACTTTGGGGTTTTGCCCTTATTTGGATATGTCAGGGATTAAAGCTGAAGGGAAAGTATTAGATTAGAAACTTGAGGTTCGACTTGAGGTTTGTTCTCTCTCAGGTTGCTAGAAATATGAGCTGTTTGTCAGGATAAAGCAGAGATAGAGATGAGATGAAGACGATGCATTTTACTCACACACACCCTCTATGTGTAAGTGTTTCATAAGGCTGACAAAACTTCCTCTCCTCTGCAGAGCAGAGCGCAGAGGCAGAACTGAGAGCAGCTCGTCACATTTAAGGATTTCAATTCCTTTCACAAAGGAGGCTTCAACCTCTGCAGCAATCACATGTGCACATGTGACATTTGGCGGTGAGCAGAGTTGGAACATGTTCTCTGAAGTACGAGCACAACATTGTTAAATCAATACTACAAGCTAATACTACAAGGGCTGCATTTAGAAAAGAATTATGGGTATTTTCAATTTACTTCAAGTATTAAAAATTGTATGATTTATTCTGCGATAAAACGACCGCTGGGGTTGATATTTTATTACAAACTACATATTGGGGTGGGGGTGTGTTATGGATCAGGGAGGAACCCAATAAATGTTTGTGTGAATATGGATCAGGGGATGATTCCAGGTATTGTTTTGTTTGTTCATGTAGAGACAGGCTGAACACAACAGATGAAGGTGCTGAAATCATTTCTACATTTTAAATCTTTGATCTAATAACATTTCCATTGATTTACAGGCAAACACTAACATTCAGTGATAAAAGCCTCAGAATAAGTTGGAATAAAATCATGTGAACAGTTTTTCACAGTTTCTGGTCAATAGGTTCAACACTTTGTTGTATTTTGGAAGCTTAGTGATGCTTATATGCTATGCTATAGTTGTAAAAATGAAATGAGTAACATGATGAAGTTAAAGTATAAAGAAGCATAAAAATGAAATACTGAAGTGTACCTGAAAATGTGACTTTTAAATCTACTTTCCGTCAGTGATCTGCAGAAGGCGGTTCAGAGCAGCTCAGGCCCCGGTGAAGTTTGCTGGCCTGGGAGGCATCTGAGCTTCTGGGCGGCTCGGTGGTGTCGACACACGGCCTAGTGTTACAGGCAGGGAGGGGGAAATGGCTGTGGGCCCAGATAAGGTCTATCACCAGAGGCAGCAAGGGCCCCGGCTTTACACTCAGGGAGTTAGGACAAGTCCTCACTGGTGGGTGAGTGTGAGGCACAATTTGTTTTTCCTGTAGATCAATCTGGTTCCCAGGCTGACGCCATCCTCCCCATACTTTTGTGTAAATTGAGTATTATAACCCCCCCCCCCACACACACACACACTCACACGTGCAAACACACACACACACACACACACACACGTTTGCTCCTTTTCTCACAGGAGCTAATGTCGTGGGAAATAAGTTGAACCACGTGTTCTCTTTCAACTAAATGTGACTCACAGTTAAATTCGCTGGTCCGAGTGAGATATTACATCAAGAATGTACGATGAGCTTATCACATACAACACACTGCCACACAGGAGTCGTCAGCCACTCCGCCAAAGAGACATTCAACTCAATGAACCGAGAAGATTGAGTCTGTGAGGCTGCAGAACTTCATCTCCCACGACCTCTCACATCTATGACCCTTAGGGGGGGGGGCATGACCCAGATGTGGCAACACTGGACGGAATAGTGAAAAATTAAAATGCACACCAGTGTTAAGAATCTAATAACACAACATATAGTGATAAACAGCATCAGTCATAGCAACAACATGGACGCTTGTGCTGTGCTCTTTCCCTCAGACTTTGTGAGCAGGACGTGTAATGTTACTTGTAACAGAGTACTTTTAGTGAGTGTTGTACTGATACTTTCAATAATCAGTAAAGGATCTGAATACTTCCTCCACCACCTCCACATTGAAACCAGACAGTGGGATCCAAACACCCTCCTCATCGCACACATTAAACATCGAGGTTCTCAAGAACAGATTTCAAATGTCAGTGATGGAAAGAATAACACACGAGGGAAAGAGTCAACCTGAGAACTAACACTAAATACATTATAATATAGACATAAACACATACGGGACAATTTTGTAGTTTTTATTAATGTGCATTATTTGTCAATTATAGCTTCTCCTATGAAAATACAGGGTTTTTGCTATAATGTCATTTATTAGCTGTCTACAAATGTATTATAGTTTTTTTGATATCAACAAACACTGTTATCTGCTTATTATTATAATGTATATGTGTAAATATTTATGAATAGCTGTATTCTTACTATTATTTCTACATATGTATATCTTTTATTTCTTTTAGCCTTACTTGATTTTTATATRGCTATGTTTATACTTGCTTTTGCTCTTTCACCTCTTTCTCAGGGGCTCTGTAACGTTTGAATTTCCCTACGGGAATTAATAAAGTACTTCTGATTCACTGTTCATAAATACTACACAGCATCACCAGTTTCAGTCGCTTATTACAGTATTTAAGCAAAAAATTATACAGACTTATTATAGAATTGAATAAACAAAGCTTTTATTTTGTCTTAATTGCGGTTGTGTGTCACAGAAGGGAAAAACAAATCACTCTGTGAGAGAGCACGTACAGCTCAGAGCTGCTGTGTGCAACATTTAGTGAATTCAACTCTTAGAGAGGGAGAGAGAAATGAACGTTTATACTGTGCTGGCGGATGTGTTCAGATCCTTCACATGAGTAAACACATTACTACACTGTAATAGTATCTGTTTACAAGTTGAGGTCCTTTGTTTAGTAAAGTTGAAATATTCTCAGTAAAAGAATTACGTGACATGCAGAAAAACCAGCTGTGTGATACTGTTATGTTTTTTTAATTATTGTGTTTTTATTACTGATGCATTAACAAGAGGCATTTTAATATTGCACTGAGATGTACATTCTGTGTGGTTTGCACTACAAAAACAAAATCATTATGTTATGTACATTCAATTTGTAAGTAGTAACTTTAGCTGTCAATATATGTACTGGAGTAAATATTTCCCTCTGACATGTAGTGAAGTAGAAGTATAATATGGCATAATGTAAACTGGAAATACTTGAGTAAAGTATTGTATTTAAGTAAATGTTTTTTTCCACAACAGCCTGCGCTCTACGTGAAGAACACTCTGAGCTCTGCGATGCTGATGTTTCCACATCACTGAATGTCACCGGTGCAGCTTCGTTGCCTCATTTTCACAGTGCTGACCTGACGACTGTGGGCTCATTAGCATGGTGACAAACCACACTGCTACAGTTGGACATTTGCATTCACGGGGAATTGAAACTTGTGACCTTTCCCTTTTAAAAATCAACAGAAAATAAACAGTAATCCCTAAACATGCCTACAAGAGAACACACTTTAAATCACATTTTTAATGGAGGGTTAGATTCTTCTTATCGGCCTGAAAGAAATCCCCTTAAAAGTGATTTGAGTGTAACTAAGAGGGGGGAAGTTCTCGGTCTTCCCTGAGTGCTCTGAAATGAGGACTGTGGATTCCGTCCCCATCAGTTGGACTGAAACCGCTTCAGGAAGCATTGGGACACTTTCAGTGTTTATATGAACACAAAGATGCATTTAAACATGTGAAACTTGTTTACTGCAGCTTTACAACCAGCTTCAGTTTGAGCAGTTTCATTGTGAGCACACCTAATGTTCCTGCATTTATCTGAGGGCACAGGCTCACTTTGGTGACTCAGAACAAACCGTTCGTGTTCAGCTCAGTTTACAGTAAATTATACTTTTTACCGGAAAACATTGACTGTTTCTAGTAAAAGAAGGAAAATCTCCACACACACACACAGAGGAAGTGTTCCTTCAGGTAGCTTCCTGTAGCGCTGTGACATTTAAGCACCAACTCTCAGAACATGATCTCAGGATGTGCACTTCACATACGTACCACCCAAACTGAAGTTAATGCAGAATATGAATATAAACAGCGAATGTGAACAATATTAAGTTCACATTTGCCTCAAGATGAGCTCATACCGTGTGTTGTAATCTTTCCTATTACCCAACATCACACTGTGCTGTGTTCTGGTATAAGTATAAATGACACCATCATGTGCATAGTGGTACAGACACAGAGGGATTTCAGTTTAAAGTGATTAAGAAACCAGAAATGATTGAAAGTCAGAAAGTCAAAAGACGCTGTAATGTTCACGTCGACACAATATTGAGTGTAGGTGTTTGTGTCATTATGTCGACGTGGCGTCTTCTGGTTGCTTTTAAAAAGGCGGCTACAGAAAGCAGCAGCGAGAAGAGGCGGAAGAGGCGAATGAGAGCGACTGTGACTGTTAGACCTCTTCCTGTGGTTACATCACGTGGTCATGGAGGGTTCAAAAGGAGACAGCTTCTTCTTCTTCTTCTTCATCCACTCCTCGGACAGAGAGAAGACACCTGTGAGAGGCTGCCTCACGAGCTTCACTTCAAACAGAGAAAAAACACGGAGGGAGAGGTACAGTATGATGGAGGCCATTGTGTCTTTAATGGTATAATGATTTGTGACGACATGGACAGAATTCTGAGTCAGATAATACAAGATGAGTCAATGTTGCAGCTTTTACTTCATTAACTTCACTTTTTCTAATCTATTGTTTTGTCAAAGGAGTTTTTCCGTTCAGAGTTTCAATTGGATTTTGGATGAAAACCTTAAAAACTTTGTACTTGAAGCTGAAAATGTATTTTTCTGTAACTGTAATGTTTTTATTTAAGCGTTTTTATATCTACAGGATCTTTGCATTTTCAAATGTTATTCTAATCTGCTAACAGATGTCTGCGATCTTATTTTTTTGTGACTTTTGAAACATTTTGCTCGGACAGAAAAGCTTACTCATGCCAGCCAAAATGGCTTCCATAAGATAGCGCTTCCTCTGGCTGTTAAGTTCGGACTTTTGCCTAATATGGCAATAAGGCGCAATAAGAGATTTGTGTGGTAAACTTTACATGTAAGTGTTTCAGGACAAATCAGGAAGTGTGCATTTTCTGGTTTGAGAAAAAAAGCGAAGGCTGTTGAAGCGTTGGGTGCGCACTGGGCCGAGAGGTTTCAGTTTGGTGCACAAGTGTGTGACTGGGCGTGGGAGGGGTTTGGTGTGTGTGCAGCTGCAGATGTGAACCCAGGTGCAGAAGAAGAGAAGCGGGGAAGGACACAAGACGGAAGAAGAAGAGCGGTGGATGTACAGTGCAGTCATCCATAAAGTAGAAAGCACTACTAAACTCCTCGCCACAGTGTAGTGTTTCCTACTTTATGGATGAGTGTACTGTTGGCTTCAGGGGAGAGGAGAGGTCCGTCATGGCACCCGTGCAGGAAGTCACTAAAAGAGGAAGCTGCTTTGTCTCGCAAGGCCACACATTCACCCAGAGTGTCGCCCCAGTCTCTTCACATGGGTGGTGTGTGGTGCGGAGCAAAGTCTGCAACTCTCTCCTTCAATGTGTGAAGTGTAAACTGTCAAATATTCAATAAAGTTGAACATGAAGAAGTATCTTGTTTTAGACTCGTGTTTTCTGTGAAAATAAACATACTTTATTCCTGTAAAAAGATCCATATGGAAAGTAACCATCACATTTTCAAGTCAACAAGTCCTCTGTGTTCTACATCTTTAGATCATGTTTCTCCGGCGACACTGCCTGGACATGCAAAAACAAAACGACAACTGAAAAAACAATATTAACAAAAATATTTACACATGAGCTTTCAAAAGGATAATAAAAACAGTGATATATAAAAATGTTAATCTTCCACTGGTTTCAGTGATTGCAGATCAGGAAAGATGAAAAAAGAAAAAAGAAAAAAAGGTTTCCCGCACTGCATGAAAATATAGCACAAGCCCCAACACTGTTCATTATATACACAAAGCTCCTACAGCTTCTCTCCCACTACTGCGGCAATCTACAAGTGAAATATTGTAGACGAGTCAGCCTAGAAAAACAGAAACGTGACGAGAACGTAAATAAGGCCAGACATGGGTATAACATTGTTCTGCATGCAGTCGTTAAACATCCTGTAAACAACAGATTAAGACTAAACAAGGTCGTCTCATAAGGCTAAATATGATCAGCAGAGCTAAAATGCTACCTACACGGGTCGAGGTCCTACTACCCAGCGGAGCCGCCTACTCACTACACAGCAGGTCGAGGAATACTTGTGCATTAAAGGCCGTCAAATACGAGATCAGTACAATTATTCACTGTACATTTCGGCAACTTTTGAGCATCCACTCCCCCTTAAGAAAAACATGAAACAGAAGAAACACTGTACAGCCTCAGTCTCGGTTCCATCCTAAAGTGTCTTTGTCAACCTGCCCTCAAATTTACTCTCACCGCCATCGTGCTCCCTTTATGTAACACTGACAAACAATTAAAGACGTTCACGACATGAAAGAAAAAAGTATGTTGTGACTCTGTCTGCCCGTGAGGGGGGACTTCAACGACACGCTCCTCTCCCCCCACGCTGCTGCATGCTGCGCTAACAGGCAAAGCACCTAAGAGTTTGGCATAATTGTGCAGCTTTTCAACAGCCAGAGTCCACAGGTGGCTCAGCGTACTGACAAACCACGAGTAAAAACCTGAGATGTGACCCCAACAGCTATTCCGCCACACAGATCCAGAGAGATCCAATCAGACAGAGGGAATAACCACTGCACGTGCTGTAACTGAAAACTAAGACCTGGTCCACACATCCACATCACAACCTCTGCATCTAAAGCGTCGACAGACACAGTGCGCTTCTGTCTTTGTTCCAGAACTGCAGATCACACTAAGCTATATTGCCAAAATGGTTGTTTTAAGCTTTAAGTCGATAGTCTTATGAAGCTGGTATGTGAACACAAAATAAACTGCATGGGCGGATGAAGATGTTTAAACACTGTTTAGCCTTAATCCAATATTCACACACTGCAATTATCCTCCTGACATGAAGGCCAAAGAAAAGAAACCACTTATTGCAGAGTCCTTTATAGTCCAGTGGAGCCGCTGTATCAGTGGTGAACCTTCACCTCCTTCTCACTTCCTGTCTGCGCAAGCAAGGGAGCGAATAAAACTTTTGTTTCCAGAGGCAAAGCAAATCACAGCGTGGCTTATCATGAAGTTTAACAGAGGCGAAGTTTGACCCACGATATTCACTTCACATTCACGTATGTGTGACATGTACACAAAACACATGTTAGTGTTAGCTGGTTTTACATGCAGAGATTTATACTGCATTCAAACCACAGTATGTTTAGCATCAGGCTGCTAACTGTAGTGTCAGACTTATTTTTGAAAACCAATAATTTCTTTATGTGAAAATGTCAAATATTTGATGGTCTCAAATATGAGAACTTGGGAATTCAAATGAAATGATAGTGAAGTGAATATCTTTGGGTTTTGGAAACAACGAAACCACGAGGTGGAAACTGTGACGGGTATTTTTCACAGTTTTTTATGTTTTACAGAGTGAAAAATGATAAGTGGTTAATTAAGTGATTAATTAAGAAAAAAGGGGGCTATGGTTTTATAATAGTAATTAGTGGCCTTAAAGCTACTCATCATCTGATACTAGATCATTTTACAAACACTGCAGGTCTCTCTCTCTCTCTCACACTCACACACACCCACATACATGTAACATATGACACATATGTGTAATATGCAACATTTAAGCCAATTATGTCTGTGGTCAAACACATCAAGAGTTCCTGTATTCATTTCTGAGAAAGGCATCTGTTTTCAGTCTCATCACCTGTGGACTGGGCAGCTTCATCTACCCCCACACACACACACACGTACACACACAGACACACACTAAAGAAGTGCGAGCCTCCACATTCTTTACATCTAACAGCTCGTTCCTCTTTGACAGTCATGACCCCAAATAAATTAGATCCAAACTACAAAAGTATGAAAGTGGATCATCACCGTCTCTGACAGCTTGCTATGACTAAACCTTCTGCCCCAGTGTCACTTCATGCAACGTCGTGATGGAGCAGGAGTCTACAAATAAATAACATGTTCTGTACAAAGTATAAATATTCCTAAAGTCGAGAAACACACGAGGAACTAGCAGACATATTTAGAATACATCCATAAAGGATGGATAGTGCATTTTCTTATAGTCACACAGAACATATAGACTGCAGCTTGTATTTGTTTGCTTCAGAAATGTAAAGTGGCACCAGTACATGAGCATTAAAGCTGATGTTTAATAATTAGCTGTGTCTGGAGCTGCTGTTCAGCATTATTTTCTAACAGACTATTTCAAATAGATATGATCCATTGTTTTATATCAAGCATCAAAGGTACTATATGTAAGAATGTGAAGCAGTTTACATATATTAATCGCTTCTTTACTGCCAATGTGCAAACTGCCTTAACTTAAAAAACAAGACTTTCCATGACTTTCTCAGGTGCTCGTGCACTGATTTTTAAATAAACAACTTGGGACACATTTCTCTGTGAAACTCTGACCAATGTGACGCTAACACTCGTTTTGGGGTGGTTGCCTCAAAGCCTCTCTTCTGTTCCCCTACAGTACCAACGGTGCAGGCTAATATTAGCTTGATAATCGAGTCCACTAACGTCAACAATCAAGCAGCTCCCAGCATAACTCCAACACAAACTCCAAGTAAGCACAAAAAAGAAAAAGGGGTTATCCTCTACAGCCGTTGGTGAACTTGTGAAGATAGAGTAACTTCCTGTCAACATGATGCTGGTAAACCAAGTTCGGTCTCATGCCTCTGTGACATGCGCTTGAGCAACACGATGTGGACTGCAGTTCTCTACCTGCGTCATTAATAACAAGGGTTTTCTGAACTTTACACATAGAACCTTTAAAGCCACCGGTAAGCTAATGCTTAGATAATTAGGAAGTATCTGGAGAATATATTTGGACACTTCAACATGCACCTCTACATGCTCTGATGCTGCAAGCTGTTTGTTGCTGTTTGAACGTAGTCTATATCTAACAGCTGGCCTCGCAGTGCTCTAAGGCAAATGTACAGTTACTGACAGTTAAAGCATCAGTTATTAGACCTGACACTGACAGCCAATAACCGCACAGCCTACCAACTGAGACTAACAGAGAGGACAGAAAAAAGTGCATTTGATGTGACGCAAATCCTGAGTCAGGAGACCTGACTCTCATTCTTTCTTACTGGATCCCAGCTTTTTGAATAGCTTCTTGCCTTTAGAGAAAAAGCCTTTCTTCTTCTTGCCTTGTGCAGAGCAGTCTGTCTTTGCTGAGCTCTCTGCTGGAAGTGGAGCTGGAGGAGAGCAGTGGACCTCCACTGCAGCTGGAGTAACAGCTGGACCAGGAGCAGGGCTCAGGTCTGACGTGAGGCCTACAGATGCTGCTGGTTTGGCGAGTATGTCAGTGCGCTCCGTTGGGTCAGGGCGTGGAGGTCCTGTTTGGGCTTGCAAAGATACTTCTGTTGTTGAGCATCCAGGCTGTTGTGATTCTGTGGAAGACGTCACAGTAACCTTCAGGAGGAAATAAGAGTGTTAGAATGAGAAAGAAAAATAATACTACACCCTAAAACAATATCTAAAGCTTAGATGATCGTAGAACAGGGGAACGCTAGTATAGGACACACACAAAGGAGGAGGCTCACTCAAACCTGTGTTTCAGTAAACTAGATCCAGAGGTGGGAGTAGGACTAGAGTGGAACTATTGTTGAAGGAAGTGGACGAGGAGGGAACAGGAGAAACTAGTATGGACCACTGAGCTACTGCAGTTCTGTTTGAAAACACTTACAATCAAGTCTCAAAGTGCACACTTCGTTTGTGCTTCTGTACAAGGCCATGCAGGAATCAGTGTGGCAGAAGAAATGTGACAGGGCAAAATTAAAGAAACAGAACAGAAAACAATAGAATGCAGTCACTACAAATACAAGTGGTGAGAAAATAAAGTTAAAAAAAACTTTTTTTATGTCTACGTATAGTTATAGACAGAAGTACCTGTGATTCTTTCTTGGGTTCTGTTGCAGGCTGAGCAGAGAGAAGTTCTGCTGGAGCGTCTACTGGTAAAGCCTGCAGGAAGTTAGAGGGGACCAGGCCTCGGAGTCCATTCAAATCTCCCTGCAGGAAAAATAAATCAGATATATTATTGAATATTATTATCATGAATGACAACATCACTTACGTTAATGAGTCCCAGCCGCCACTGCTTCAGAGCGCAGGTCGGCTGTTTATTCAAAGCTTATTAATATTGAACGTATCACATGTCTAAATCTCTCTAAATTTGACCCTGCACTCCCATGTGCCCTTAACAATACACGTGCCAAATGTGGAGCAGATAAGAAGAAGTTCTTGAGATACGCAAGCCTCATGCAGACAGATATTTCTACAATTATTAGATACATATTGTTGATAGTCTTATTTTTGATGTCATCTCTGAAACTTAATTTATTTTATTTGTATTATTGCATTCAGGTAGTTCTATACCTGTTGCTGTAAAGTAAGTTCAGGCAAGTCTGATCTTGTCTTGTGTTCTTTTATACAGGAATGAAATGTATTTACATTTCTCAGAGGTTTTAATAATGACAAAATTGACTGGATTTTTTAAGAAGTGAAGTATAAAGACTATAACTACTAAAAAAGCTTAGTTAACACTCACGTAGAAGAAGCCATCTTCATCCATGTCACCAAACACATGTATGACGTCTCCTGCACTGAAGGTCAGCTCAGCCTGAACAGAAACAGAACAGATGATGAGCAAAAACTACAACTAAACATACAGTATAGCATGTTCCTATAACAACATGAGCATGTGTAAGCCTGACCTCTATGTCAGTGTTAGGGGAGCTCTCTCGTGGGTCATAATCAAAGATGGCGACCATCCTGCGAGCTCCTGGGGCTGCGCTCCCTGCAGCTGCAGCAACAGCAGCCGACTGGCTGGGATCTGTCAGCGGAACAAAGAGAGACAAACAATTCAGTTTGATAATTAGAGGAGTGAGATGTCCTTGCAATCCCAGTCAGCGCATCGTGCCCGCATGTCCAACTCACTCAGCGTCATGCTAAGCTGAGGAAAAGTCACAGCACTGCAGTCAAACAGAAAAATAAAGACAACAGGAGGTTAGCACAGAAAGTCTTAGCAGCTGGAGCTGTGCTGCTGTTTTAAACATCAGTCAGAGGACACATTTGTCAGGAGCTGAGGAGTGAACTCCTTCCTTCACTGTTAGTGGAGATGAAGACAAAAAGAAAATATTTGATGATTAATCTTAAACTGTGAAATGAAAAGAGGAGTTAGCAGAAGAAACTGTTTGACATTTACAACTGGGGGTAAACAAAGAGCTCAGGGACACTAAAACAATTGGAGATGAATTGATAAGATAATAAAAACATTATAATGTCTTTCCCTGATTTTAACAATTTCCATCCCAACTGAAAAAGTCCATATTTTTCAATATACCCCCAAATAATCAAACAGTTCCTCATGAGGATGTATGAAGGTGAGTCGTGATGTTATCAGCAGCTACAATACAGTTCTTGTGTTCAGAACCATTCAAAATAACCATTAAAACAGGTCACAAAATGTACAGAAATGATCAAGTACAAGTAGACACATGCTGGCCTCCAGTGGACATTGGTGGCGGTCGTTCGAACATGCAGGGGCAAACAGAGAGGCAGAAGGTCAAAGGGCTAACCACAAACCTTGGCTGGAGGAGTCTACGCTCTCCTCCCAGAGTGCTGCAGACTCCACTGGAAGAGATGAGGTGAGGGGGGAGAGCGTGAGCATCGAATTGCAGCAACGGTAGAAAATACACATTAGACCTCAAAAGCCAGAATCTGAAGTTATAGTATGTCTCGGAGTCACAGATGGAGATCAGAGGGGATGGACGCTAAGACGAGTGATTTTCAGGTTTATGTGATCATGTAACGCATTTGGGACAGAGCAGCAGAACACTGGCAAAATGACTGTAGAGAGAGAGATTATCGTTCAATAAGCGACACACTGCCACGTTCTGCTGCTCTGCCCTCTGTGTATTACATGAACAGTCAATGGAAGCTGGCCAGAGGGACTCAGTCCTCATGCATGTGCAATGTAACAGTTGTGAAGATGTTGCACAAACGTTAACAAAATCATAAAATGTTACCCTGTTACCCTGAATAACCTTTTGAGACCGAGATAACAAGAAGAAGGCTTTAAATAAAGAATATGAAACGTAAAGGGAGAACTACTCATCATGGTAACATTTGACTACAACTGATTTTATCATAGCAGCTAACCTTAACCCCCCCCCACCCCGATGAAAGAGCAATAGCTACATTGAAATAGACATAAAGACAAGCAAACCAGAAAACCAGAGAGGAGCAGAAAGGATGGCGGTGGGAAGCCGCAATCTGCAGCCAGACACACCTTTCTTGGATCGCCTTGGTTTCGGTGGTGGAACAGGGCGGCGTGGAAGCTGTGCATGTGTGCGAGTGCCTTTATGGAGTTTTAGACAGGAAAACCAAAAAAAACAAACCAAAAAGAAACACAGAGGTGCATTTTTGAGATAAGCAGACACCAGACAAAATAGACAATGAGAAGCCAAAGTGGAGAGCAATTCAAAAATGACAACCAGCGAGCAGCAGACACAGCAGTGAGAACAAGTGGAAGTGAAAAGGTTAAACCATCTGCAAATACCGCTCTGGATCGAAAGCTGGAAACAGAAGCAAAGTGACTGCTGGATTTTACTGGGTGGCTCACTACGACTCATACTTTGAGATAAATGTGTTCTTTAGACACCTGCATTTAAATGAAGTCACTGAGAATGTGTAGATGGTTATGATTTTCTTAATAGCAACACAGTGAACAAGAAGCCATTAAAGCAAACAAAACAATGTCTTCAGAGAAAATGTTGGTTTCATTTTATAAACTCAATCTGATCTGAGACATGTTTGTGCCTCCGGCTGGGTCAAGTGGTCTCACAGTTTTAACTTCATGTTCTATCGTGGGCATTTAAAAATAAAGTCTGCAGGCGAAAATATGCCAACATGTGCCAAAAACATACAAGTAAATATTGAGTCCATAATTCACAACAGTGGATTCTGCTACACTTGTGCTGCTATTTTCACTTGCCACTTTAACATGAACAGTGGTGATGTTATGGGTAAAACATTCACCTACAACAAGAACATCCAAATATACTCATTTTCAAGAGCACAACATCAAATATCATATGACATAATTACAGTATGTGTAGAGTTGACACAGACACATTTGGTTAGAAATCTGCTGACAAACACATCTTCAGGTAGTTGCTAATTCTTTGACTGGCAGTGTCACATACCTATCTTCTCCATGGAGGCGGCTGTGGACAGGAAGCCCTGCAGCAGGAGCTGCTGCCGGGTCTCCTCGTCCTCCACCTGGATCTCAGACACCATGTTACACGGCACATAGCCTAAACGACCAGCGGACTCCCCTTGGTAGAACCCGTCTGCGTCTTTATCTCCGTAAACCTGAGGAAAGGAGTGTGTAGACTTGTGAATCAAAAGATAATGAGTGAAGCTCCACTGGTCAAAAAACCCACTAACATCTGGCTTTTGTCTGCAATGGGAACGAATACAATCAGCATTCATTCCCAGGTCAAATGACTCTGCAGTAGGCAGGTTTCATCGGCTCTGGATCCGATCTGCAGTGATGGAAATGTGACATCGTGGTGAACGTGCTAATTTGGCGAGACAGTGAATTGAGAAACCACCTTAGTTTTCGGTGTGTTGGTGACGCCAAACATGTCGCATTGCAAATTCCACTACTGGCAGTACAAAGCAGTCAATTGCCTTTTTTCAGGTGGTTAACGCATGTTTAAAAGCCTGCGTATACCTGCTAGCTTTAGTGTTAAAGAGGTATAACACTTTGTGCAACTGTAATGTTTGTGCTTTCAGAGATAGTTTACAGTAGTGTTAAAAAATGTCTTGTGAGAGGACCATTACACATATTTATTGTCTCTACAGTCTGCATACTTAACCCTGCGTGTACTTTAGTCTTTCTGTTACAGTGAACCTGTCAAGGTTGCTGTGTGTGGTGTGTGAGCAGGGAAGGACATACTTTGATGATCTGTCCTTCAGTAAAGGGCAGCTCCTCCTCAGCAGCATCAGGATTGGGCGACATGGTGGTGGGATCATAAGGGAAGAGGGCCACAAAGATGCGTATGTCACCCTCTCCTTTGACCTTTGTTGAATCGACCCCACCTGCACACACACACACACACAAACAAGATTAAGACAGTTTAAACCGACATAGATCTGAGCATTCACACACATCTTTTCTTCTGAGCAGAGACTGACAATGTTGTGAGCATTGGTTATGTAACTATAATAATACTAATCAGTTACTTCTTACAAGTATGTATTTAAGAGGTTCAACTTGATTCTCATAAGAAATAAGATTGTATGAAGAAACAAATAGTCAATCAATTAATCAAAAAATTAATCCGCCATAATTTTGCAATGTCATTCTGGTAATTTTTCAGAAATAGCTGTTTCCCAAATAATGTGATTTGATAATGTCTTCGTTGTACATGAGAATATGTTGGTTGAGCAGAACATATTTAAAGATGAGATCAGATCAGATCAGATCCTTTGCAAAGGAGCTATGCATGGCTTGCAACGAGTTCTGCAAAAAGTACAGCCAGTGTGCCCCACCCCCACCGCCCACCAGCAGTAGTACAGCACATGTCCTTAAAACAGGTAATCAAGCTAAACCACTGATCCTAAGCTGTGTGAGCCGTTTGAAAAAAACGTGCACCCGTTCATGATCTGAAGCCACCGAGCAACAGAGGAAACATTGTTTGACCCACCCACTCCAATCTGACAACACAGCAACAAGCCAACATATAAAAACAATATTATCACAATGTGCTTTTAATACACCCGTGTCACAGATCGTGCACAGCAACACATAAATGTGACTCGTAGCGCCATCTACACCAGAGCAGACGTGAGGCATGACACCAGTGTGACTAAAGGCATTACAACCGTAACCTGTTTGACAGCGAGACACATTTGAAGTGCTGTAGTGAGACTTTAAGCTGCACTGAAGAGACGCGTTCTCTATCTCATTATGGAGAATCAGCCCATCTGTGGCAAGAGTCACGGGCCGACAACACACTTTCACATCCTCACTGATTTTCTCGTCGATAGCGCAGAACTTCTCCTGCCTGCTCCCTTCCTCTATCTGTGTGCATGTGTAACACTAGTGCACTGGTCTGTGTGCTCAATAGAAAGGTTTATTTAAGGAGTGTGCAGTCTGTATCATTCAGACAAATGAGGAGAGGCAAGTGAAGGAACATGTAGAGAGAGGGAAAGAAAAAGGAAGGTGGTGCTTGCACGTCCACACCGCAGCCTAGTTCTCTGCTTGCTAATCGAGGTTACTATTTTAATGTCTGTCACTTCCTCCTGTCATGACAAGCCACTTTGGGTTAAGCCGGTTCTCAGCTTAGCAGGCTCTCTCCCACTTCTCCACTGCAGCTATAGCACCTCCTCCTCTCCGACAACCCCCCCCTTGCTCACTCTTCCTACACAAGGTGCTAATCTCACTGCCATCATGTGAGACAAGGCGGTGCAGGCTTTACAACAGAGAGCACAGGTGTGTCAGCATCGCCTCAAACATTTCAACTGCATTTGACAAACAAGACACAGAGCAGCACAGGAGGAGGAAAAAGAGGAAAGCATATCTGACCTTTCAGTTGCTTGGCCTGCAAGCATGCTGGTTTAGAGGAGAGCTCAGCCTGGCCCCCCCACGATGGACCCGCCACACCTGGAGGGATTTGGCCGGGCTCCTGTTTAACATAGAGAAAAATAAACAGGTCAAAGGGAAAAAAATAAATTCTCACACAAAAAACACAGATTTCTAGGGAGGAGAGGACACCTCAAGGGTTCAGAGGACAATATTTCATCTTTACAAGATCTTTAAAAAATGCAAAAAAACATGGGTTTCCAACATCCTGCTGTTTCAACATAAACATGTTCTGTTTTTGCATTGTAACCTCAGCAGATTCAGACACACATCGATGCACATCCACTGTAAGCTAATGCAACGCCTGGGCCGCACTGGGTGCATTTGCAGGGTGTGATGGCTGCTTCGTTGATCTGCTGTTGTTCACACCAGGAGTGTGTTTGCTGTGTTCCTGCTGCGGAGCTGCTACTCCCAGCCGCACATTTTACATAGAGTTTGTCTTCAAAAGTTTTGACAGATAAAGGGTTAGAAATGTTTGGTCAATTATAATTAACAGTAATACTAATAATAAATAGATTCAAAAATACATACAGATATGCTTTTTCAGTTTTCCTGTCTCGGTTTAAAAGCCATTTCCATTTGAGGTCTCGTGTTTCTTTTCTACAGGTTTCCAGGGTTGGGCAAATTTTTCTATTCATATTAGAAGCAAGACGTTTATTCACATACATGCCAAGGAAACTGTAATTAGATGTGACTGGGCTTAGTATCTGCTGAAATGCTTTGCTTTCATTCTGCCACTGTGTGTTACTCTGGGATTGTTTTCCTCTTTCCAATGGCTAGAGAGCTTTTACTTTGAAATGGGTACAGGAAATGTTGCAAATATTTGAGATATATTTGATGGATGATTTGATGATTGAAACGTTAGAGGAGTACAGGCAGTGTGGCTGCTCTGACGTGATAATGGAAGCCGAAATGAAAAGACAGAGGTTTTGCTCACGCATCCAGTGAGGGCCAGGCATAAGGCAGCTCTGACTAATTTAGGACAAAATGAGTGGTTTCCAAGGAGAACAGAGGATCATGTGATGGTGGTGTGAATTAGTGCAGTCAGAAAGAGGGAGAACAGTTTCAGTTGTGCATAGATTGTAGCAGAATTAGAAATCTGAACAAAGACAGTATTGTGAACTGGTTTAAATGTTTAGCAGCGACTCTGCCCACATGTTCACATGGGGTGTTTGCTTTGATAAGACATAACTACCTGACCTCCCTCTGTCCACTGCAGAGATGATAAAGGTAAGTAAATATGATTTTTCTCCACTATGTCTCCACTATGGGTTAGATCCACACAGCTACAGGGGGAGAGGGGTGGGCTGGGACAACACACCCATTGTGGCTGGTCTGCAGGGACATTTACTGGTTGTTCAGTCTTCATCCCACGGCGGAGGGGAGGCCTGCTGTGCTCCGCCTGAGCCCCTTCCACCCACCACTCGGAGCTCATCTGCTCCACCACCACCTCCCCAGGACCGTACTTCGCGGGCTCCTCATTATCATCTGTGCCGTACTCCAAGTCAATCTCCACCGCACGACCAACAGGTGACCTAACAGTCCGTACTGTTTTGCTGACTGGGTAGGGTCTTTGCGGGGGAGGGCCATGGCTGAGGTTGGCTGCTGCAGCAACAGCCCTCAGACTCCTCAACATGGCCTCCCTCCTAAGGCGGTCCCCTAGCCCTTTTAGCAGCGATTTCTCTCTGATGTTGGGGGTCCGCTGTTGAGGACAGCTGGCAGAGACTCGCCTGCTGGTCGAACCCTCGTATAAACTCTCTTCTTCTTCAGGATAACTGATGGTGTCCACTGTGTCTGCGTAGTGCACCCTGTGCTGCGTCTTAGGCTTCACCTGCGAGGGTCCATATCTGAGTAAAGGCTCTTTGGTTAGGGATCTTGGACCCCTGTTGAAGTGGTGATGGTGAGGGGGAACATTCGTGTATGTGTTGGGTTGATGTTGGTGATGCTGGGGGGCATGATGGAGGCGTTCTGAGTCTCTATGGTGAAGGTGGCTGGGCCTGGGCCGAGGCTGACTGCGGCGGGTTATGGGATCCTCTTGACTACTGTCTTCTTCCTCTGTCAGCTCAGGAATACTGAACAGCTGATTGCTGTTGTAGACCTGTGGGGGCAACTTCAGGATCCTCTCAAGAACCTCTTCATCACTGTCTGAAGGCTCTAAATTGCAAGACTGCAAGGGCCACAGGTCAAAGCAAGCAAGAGTGGGTTGGTGAAGGTAATATTTAAAATCATATTGTTCGGTAAAAATAGCGGTGCAGATAAAATGGATGAAAACCAGGCCATGCAAAGAAAAGAGAAAAGAAAGAAGAAAAAACAAACACATGAGGAATGTGACAACAGTAAAGAAGGCTTAAGTGTGCAAAGCAAAGTGAGGAAGCAGAATTTATTAAAAAGCGTGCACTCGTTCCTTTACCCTGTTAGCTCGAACTATATATCCCCGTGCCTGTGTTTCTCCAAGGTGGTCAGAATACAGATCCTCCTCCTCCTCCTCCAGGATGTCGGACAGGTCTGATCGGCTGTTATCTGCATTGTAGTCACTGGGAGGTTCCACAAGCCCTCTGCCATAACTCTGTAAATACGATATGTGAACAACATCCTGTGAGAGTTTATACAGTGAATTCATCAGTTTTAAACTCTTTCTTGATCACTCTCATAATTTGTTCATTGTGTATTGGAGTAAGGTTAATGTAATCAGAATATACTGTTTACAAGGAAGTGTCTGATATAGGTTTACTGACTAAAAATGGATATCGCCTTCCATGTAAATGATGGAAGGATGGAAATATCATGCAAATGTATTAACTTTACACAATTGAGGGTTTCTTAAGATGTGAGATAAATACAGAATAATAAATGCTAAAAATTTTGCATCATGCATTGTCTCCATGAATTTAATGTGACAGGCTGCATTACAAGCGACACATACCTGTCAACTAAAAAAGTATAATTTAAAGAGGAAATTATTTTATTAAGCTGAATCAGGCTCTAAGAGCTGTGCAAATTTCAGTTAATTTCTATATCATATTGCTTCAATGAATGTGATTTCTGAAATCAGCAGATTCCTGCTTTACTACTGTGTTCCTTCAAATCTGAAAGCTAAGACTCAATCACGAACACATACTGGACATTATGACATTCCCTCAGGTCAGCAGCTGCTCAAATGACTGAACATAATCAAGACAGATAAAAGACAAACTGTTTGAGGCTCTAGAAGAAATGAGCAACTTTATATGTGGACTAGATCTATTTGATGTACTTTACTACACCTCTGCAATATGATACTAGTCTACTCTCAGCCGTACCTAGAGCACATACTACACTTATCTTTCTAGTGATGAGTCAACTATTTTAAAGTAATAGCTGATTGTCAGGACTGACCTGCTGCCTCCCGCTGTACACTGGCTCCTGGTCCTGTCTCAAGAACTCTTCGATAGACACCAGGCGGGTATTCTCCTGCTCCTCCTCTACCTCTGAATCCAGTGGGGAAGTGCTGGGTGGTCGGAGGACGTTTATGTCCTGAGGGTTAAGAAGGTCTGTGATTGGTGCTTTTGGTGGGGTAGGGATGCGCTCAGGGATCCCGAGCTTGGCACTGGGGTCCTCGATGAACTCTGTGATGGATGGGAAAGGACGTATCGATCCAGGGCTGTCGGTGTCTCTGCGCTGCTCCAACATCGCTGCTGCTGCCATCATTGGTGCTTGTGCAGATGCTGGTACTGCTACTGGAGATAGTTGAGGTGCTGAGGATGTGGGGGAGGTCACACTAACCTGGAGAGGAGAAAAAGTCTGTGCAGAATGAAATTATTTATTTATTTAATTATTGTAAAAAAATAAAACACTTGCAGTCTCTTCTAGACAATAGAGTGAGGATTACCACTGGAGTGATGGAGGGGGTGACTGGTAATGTGGTCTCACACACGGCTAAGGCAGCAGCAGATGAGGGGTTGGCCCAGGCCTTCACATATGAGGCAGATGAGAGAAGGTCTTCTGAGTGGAGAGCAGTAGGAAAGTTGGCAGCAGCCTCCACTGTGAGGCCAGTGTAGTGTGTGTCTGATGGCAGGGTGCTGGGCAGCACAGAGACTTTGGCAGCAGAGTTCATGTAGGACTGCGGTGAGGGCAGGTTGCTGGGACCTACAGGGGCACAGGGCAGAGGGGGTGGCACAGCTGGGGCGGTGATAGCTGGGCCCGCCATGATGGCAACCAGCTTGGACGGCACATTGACTGGCAAAGAGTCACAGGACTCCCCATGGGCAGACATGGTGCGGACAGTGAGCTCCTGTGCTGCCTGCAGGGACTGGATCTGAGAGGGCCCCAGCAGGGCACTGCCTGCTGTTGGGGAAGACACCTCCAGCACCTTTAGATAAAAGAACGACAGGGACACAGGTAAAATTTTCCATGTGAAATTCAAATGATCAAACTCAGCTTCATCTATAAAAAACTCAACGGATAATATCTTTCATACCTTTTTCTTATCAGCATAAATGGTGTATCCAGTGACACGGACTCCGTTGGAGGTCCCGGTAGCATCTATAGTGACTGGCAGCCAGCTGATGAGGGCGATCCCTGGAGAGGGGCCGTGCTCGAGCTGTACGTCCAGAGGAGCATCAGGTGGACCTGCAGGGATTAAAGGAATCACGCAAGCGAAAGCAAAAGATAAAAAAGCATGATTCTATATAAATCTATGATGAGGTGAATTGCTTGTTTGGGATTAGAATTAATTATCACAAAGAGCACATGTTTCTACCAAGGAAGCTGCTGTCTAACACTCTACAGGGACAGTAGGAATTCAGAAACCATATACCTGGGTTCCCAGTGTGTGGGCATGAAACTTAAGCACATTTGAATGATTTTTTTAGAGAAATACAACTTACATCTCATCTGACACTGGTCATCAATATACAGCTTTCAGGCCTAGGGCCTAGGGCCTCAAACTAAGGTCAAAAACGAAATAGCTCCCACAGTCTTCAGCAAAATACCACAACCTCACACTGAGCAGATCTTTGTTTCTTGAGTCGGAGCAGAATTTTAGCTCAATGCTTTGTGGGAATGACAGGAAAATATAAAACAAATGGAAAAGATGCACAGGAAATAACCAGTAGCTACGATAATGCATGCCTGTTTATTATGACCTCTGAAATGACCAATCAAATTGGATATTTCCCCCTTTTCAAGCAATATATCTGTATCAAGGTGCCCTGGTTGTTTAATAAAGGCAAAGTGATTCAGAGCAGCTAATAAAAACAGTCCTCATGAATAAATTGATGACCTTGTGTTGGGAGGTAGAGAATCAACACAACACTCAAGATGAAACAGCTTCATTTGCACAACAAGATACAACGCACTGTAGCTGTGAGAAGTAACTGTGCTGCTCTGCAACTCAAAGGTTCAGTGAGATTATATGAAGAGCTCGACTGTAGGAGTGAATGAGTTAGTTATACAACATACACACTGGAGTGTTTGTGAATTAAATCATACTGAAAATTAGATTATACACATTTTTTGATGTTTGCATTACTGAGCACATACGATTGTATCTAATCCATAGTTTTTGTTTGATCCAGCCATTTTATAGTTCGTCTCTGTAGTAGATATATCTGATTTACACATCCTTTAACAAAAGTGCACTTTTAGAATACAACACTGATGTACTATGTGGGTAAAATATGTGTGTCTGAATGACTTGATGGAATAAGCCATTTTCATTACTTTTATCAAATTAAAGGCCCAGTGTGAAAGATTTAGGTGAAAGGGAACTATTGACAGAAATTCAGTGTAGAATAATCCTCATGTTTTCACATTTCATCTAAATTGTATGAATTGTAGTTTTCTTTACCCCAGAAAACGCCCTTTATATTCAAATACTTTATATTTACATCGAGGGGGGTCCTCTTTATGGAGCCCGCCATGTTTTTTACATTAGTCCAGACTGGACAAACTAAACCTTTTGAGTTTTTATGACAACTGAAGGTTTCCACAGGTTCTTTTCATGTTTGGAAGGAGAGGGTGAGTTGAGGGGTGTTCAGCTGCAACATGCAATTTCAACACTAGATATCACTAAATTCTACACACTGTACCTTTGAAATGCTTGATTACATTTTTACTTGACAAAAATAGTATCAAAATAAATACATGTGACTTCTTCATCTTCAGAGAGTAATATGATATTAGAGTAAATACTTAATCCTGACCTGCCATCAGTGTGCTGAAGGTGATTGTAGTGCTTCTGTGTTCACGTCGCTCCACAGGTAACTCCCAAGGTGTGCGGTGCGGCCGTGCCTCCACTTTGACGGTGTACTGCAGGCTGGGCAAGAGGTTATTGAGGCACAGTGAGTAGCAGCCAGCCTTCACCAGCTCACACTCCTCCTCATTCAAGGACACAATGTGCACATAGTTACTGTTGCTGGGCAGCCAGGTCAGGTTGGCAGAGGTGGCGGTGATCCTCTCCATACGCAGCTGTGTGGGCGCCACACAAACGTCCCGACCGACCAGCATGCTGCAGCGCAGGCGGTCTGACGGGCCCTTCTCTGTCAGGCTCTGCACTGACACACGGTAGGCCTTAAGGTTTATGTCCAGCCGCTCCAGCACTGCTTTGGTCTGGGAACCGAAGGGCACATTGATCCGCAGCTCCTGGTCCACATACACGTTATAGCTCCACACATTGCCCCACCCAGCTGGCACCAGCGGAGGGTCCCAGCCAATGATGATGCTCTTGGCGAGCTGCTTGATGAGGGTGAGCTTACGTGGGTAAGGCACAATGTCCACTCCCACCTCCTCCAAATCCAAGTCCAGGCCGTTGGTGAGGGGGGCTGGGACAGCCAAGGCTGATGCTGAATCTGTGGGGGCTGAGGCAGGGCCAGAGGGAGCAGGTGCCTCTGTCCTTTCTGAGGTGCTGGCGCCCAGGTGTAGGTGATGCTGGTGGCTGGCACTGTGCAGGCTGCTGTCGAGTAGGGAGTTATGGGACATGTCCCCTGTCTCTGGATGGTGACTGCTCATGACATCGTCGTCCGATACACGCTCCACAAAGTTAGAGGGGACCAGCCCTCTCCGTCCGTCCATCAGCTCACCTATGGACCACAGTAAACAACTGAAATCCACGAACAGACAGGAGCACGAAAATGTAGATGTAACAAATTAGACTGCGGATTTACCTTCATAGAAGCCATCATCATCCATGTCTCCATACACATAGATGTACTCTCCAGCAGTAAGTGGTAGCTCCACTTCAGGGTTGTCGTTGGGGCCATCATAAGGATTATAGCTGTTTAAAGTAATGTTTTTAATTAAGTTCTTTTCTTCAGACAACAGCAAACTGTCGATGTAGTGACTTGACCTCCTCAGTATAAAGCTCACCTATATCTTGCAATGAAAACCTGAAGTTTTGCTGCTCCTCTGCTGACTGAGTAAGGTGCTGGGGCCACGTCAATGTCTAACTCCTCTACTTCACTGGCAGTATCCACCTGAGAACAACATGAACAGACCAATGAATGACTGATTAACTTGATACATTTTATTTCAGTGAAAAGAAAAAGCACAAAAATGGTTGTGAAATGACTTAAATAAACAACCATCTGACAACCAAATCAGTTTCCAATTTATTAGGTACACCTAAATAAAACAAATGCCCAATACCACAGTCCTTGGTTATAATGTTCTTATATGTTGTATCTTAATGTTCTCTCCTCAGCCAAGGAGTTTATGTTTTCATTGTAGTTTTTTTGTCTGATAGCAAGATTAGAAAACACAAATGAACTAATTTTCTAGAAACTTGTTGGAAGAAAAAGGTATCTGTCAAGGAAGAACCCATTTTGGAAGAAATACAGACATTTTCAGTATTTTCAGTTTGCAAGAAATAATATGCATCTTATGTCAACATTATATATATAATAAGGTGATAATGTGGCCAATAAGCCTTGGAGTGGCCTTCTAGTTCAAGATGTTGTAGTTAAAGATGATTTAACTGTATGATCATTCTACAGGCTTGTACTACATCACACAGAGCAGAGTCCTTCATCGATATAGATGGATTATCCAAAAATAACAATAACACCTGGACACCACAGTGGGTACCCATAGACTTTATGTAGTCGGAGTTTAATGAAGGTATTTGTGTTGCTCTAAATTTAAACACCAAGATTTAAATTTTAACTACAAGTGAAATATTGGTTCTTAATACCAGTTATCAGCCTCCTTGATTACTAATAATTATTATCTGTAATGTTACTGAAAACCCAAAGCGGTCGACCCCATGGTTCCTGGTTTTATATCATCTGCCCATGCTAACTTTAATTAATTAATTCAGAGGATACATGGGGAAAGCCATCATGCTGGCAACCTTTGTAACACATTTCACAGCAATGACAGCAAATTTGGTACTGGATGAGTTTGCATTTTACACATATATCCTGAAAGGCCATGAGGTTAAGTCCATGACAGTCATTATCTTAAACAGTAAATTATTCACATTTTTGACTCAAGAACATAATTTATAAATTACTGCTCGTGTGAAAATATAAATATTTGTATTATATAATGAATACATTTAATAAGTCACTGTTGCTGGTAGAATCATTATAACACCTGAAGTGGAGTTAGAATTCCATTCATACCCGCAACACATAATACAATGGGAGAGCCTGTATATTTATAGCTCCCTGGGAAAACCTTTTTAAGGATAATCACTTACAACTACTACTGTATAACCTTTATAATCCACACTGGCCAGAGGATTATTTCACTAAAAATGAGCTTTGCAGAACTGTGTGCAGACGAGGGACAGACGAGGGACGAGTGAAAAGATCACCAACCTGTCTGCCATGCAAGACCAGAGACTGACTCTTTGGAGACATGGCACTATTAAAAGACTGAATCCTGGCAGCAGATCCAAATTATTTCTCTTATATATAAGCAAAGGGGGCTCTAGTGTATTCAGCTGTAGTCTGTTAGACTACTCGCGTGAGATGACAGAGAGGGTTAAGGAGGGCTTTTTAATCCATTAAATCCACACAATCAATGTGCTCGTGCATAGCCGTCTTGGTAATCTTGATGAGTGATCTGCCTGTCTATGTTCGCACAAAGAAAGCAGACATGTTTGCGAGTAAGAGTCCTGCACAAGGGATACATTTTCACAAACCTACAACCAGGGATCTAACACTAACCAACAAATCAAAAGTTGGACAAAAGGAAACCATTCTGGACAACAGATATCCAGAGGTTTCAAATGTCAAAGCAATATTAGTTTGAGTTCAAAAGTGTAGTAGTAGAAAAAGGTAAAGAAGTAACAAATAACAAGAACAAAAACATAAACAAATTCTGCACCGTACATTCTCGGGGTTGTACCTCATGTGTTGGGCTTGATTTGTGCGGACTGAGGTGGGAATCAGACTTGGGGGTGAGATGAGTGGTGTCTGACTTGCTGTGGGAAGAGCCTGACTTGCTGACGCTGATGGTGGGCAGCTCCCGGTGCTTGGTGACAGGTGAGCGCTCCACCCGGGACAGCCCTGCGGCATGAGGGGTGGCCCCCATCCGCAGTGCAGCCGCCACATCTAGCAGGAAACAGAGGGGAAGAGGATAATACATAATCCATGACTTTAGCAAACACCTCCAGCCCTCTCACTGGTTAACCTGCTTGAGTCCGTGAGCAGCTAGGTGGGTGAGGTCACTGGTTGACATGCAGGAGGCTCAAGGTTGAACCTGGCTGATTAAACAGTGGAGGGTAAAATCCTGTCTCCATCTGTCTGAGGTCAGAGGTCATGCTAAGTTGTGGCAACGTGTGTCACACCAATGCTGTTAAGGGGCTTAACTGGTTCTGCGGTCCACAGACATTTCTCCGACCCTCATGTGATGGCGAACATTACACACGAGCTCTGTTACAGTGTTGGACGGTGTAGGTGAGATGACGGGTTAGAACATGCCGTGCCCAACACATATTATGGGTAACAGAGACAGAGAGCATACTGAGCGGATCATTACCCTCGGGGCAGGAGAGAGTGTCACCTCCCTCAAGACTCCAGAAGGCTATTTCACCCAGAGACACCATATCCCATGAGCCATCAGTGCAGTCTAAAACACACGAACAGTGTAGGAGAAAGAGGTTGGATACACACAGTAGGAAAGATGTGGACTAGATTTGCACTGTTGTTATGTTTAGCTTCGGATGGGATCGTGTTATAATGGATGTTTGAAAAACTGTTCTTGTTTTGGGACATCATTTGTGTATTAAAGTCACAGCACGTGAAATGAAATGAAAGCAATTGATCTTAATCTATTTTACTGATACAAAATTAAAATACACTGACACGATAAATAAATATCCCTATTAATAACACAAAAACACTAAAACACATTCCTGATGGAACAGTTAAAGGATTTGGATGCTTTTGTCCATGTGAGGACTGATGCTGTTGGGATGTGTTTGCTTCTAAAGCCATGCAGTTTAGCCAGGACTCTGTAACTGACAAGATTATCTCTGCAACTGAAACATTTCAATTATGAAACACTATGGAAGTTTAATTAAACTTAGCCAATGATTAAACAAAATGGAAATAAGGCAGATAATGTTCTGAGAGTCATCATCCAGGAACAGGTTGTTGACAAGTCCTTTAATTACATCTAGTATTGTGCTTATATGTACAGCAGATGTTGTGAACGAACCAAAGCAGTAAATCGGTTTCCTTTTCACCTGGTTGTCACAAGAGTACATATCCGTGGTGGTATGGCTCACCTCGCTCAGTCGTCAGGCCCACCCCGTTGGTCAGAAGAGAGAGGTTTGCTGGGTTGTTGAGGAGGGTAGAGCCGGCCAGATCCACCTTCGACGCCTGCAGTCGAAACGTCTCCAGTTCCTGGGACAGCAACCCGAACTGTTCGCTCTGGCTGCGGCATTTATCCTCCAGGTCTCGCACCTTTGACTACACACAAGGCGTAAAAAATACACAGTGAACAGATACAGACAAAGTAAAAACATCCATCTTTCCACACTATGAAATAGGATATAATCAATATGTGATCAATAATATATTTCAGTGGTAACTGTATGATAAAGTGCTATACTTTTAATTTTTTTCTGTGCCTGTGTTTGAAAGTGATGATCTGATCACTTGAGAATAAAATAAAATCTTTATTTTTATAAATAGTAGTTGCCATTGTCTTGTTCCATTTCTAACAAGGAAAACCTTTATAATCATGCATGTACATGTAAAATCCCATATCTGATTTTACACTTTTATGATTATTTTGGTGGATGCACAAATGGAGACCCGCAACATACAGCAAGTATAAAGCTGCGTACAAAAAAAGGTTTGTAATATAAAACTATTACATTCAGAGGTTATGGTACTGCAAGACAGACAGCTGTTACTAAAACACACTTTACAGCTGCAAACACACATGGCAAGCAGTAACTCAGACTCAAAGGGAAGAAGATGGGGGGGGAACAGAGGCAGGTAGTTTTCTGCTTAGATGAGAAACAGCAGTAAAAAACAGAGCTGGAAAGTAACAGAGGTTGTGAGAAGTTACACAGTTTGCTTCTGCTTCACACTTCAATCACTTTAACAAACGGACAGCAGTTAGCAGTGTAATTTGCCAGACAACGACAGAAGTTGGCCTTAGCTTTACTGAATGTCTTTATGTGGCGGATTTCACTTCCGGTTGTGGTGGGAGTTTCCTGGTAGCCTGATCTGACAAAAGCCTCTGCACGAAACTGTCTGAGAAACATTTCCTGTCAGCCCTCACCTACACAAACCAGAGCCTGCAGTCAACTGTATCCTGGCGACGCTGAGCTGAAGTGGTGATGAGAACTAAAACACTGAGAGAAATCGCTTATAGACCTCAAATTAATACTTGGTGATGTGCTGGATTTATGGAAAAGTCTTTTCTACTTTACTAAAACAATTACAAAAAACAATCACGCATGATGACCATGGTGAATGTGCTCAGTGCAGCTTGTAGCGGTAACTGTGCCACAGCTGTAACTGTTATCTGCAGATAGAGCAGTTCCAACATAAGTATATTTACATGACACAAATGTTGTAAAAATCTGGTTAAGTTCTATAAATGTTTTGCATTCAAATAAAAGGAAGAGGGATTTTCTGGTTCTGTCTACAGGGGCTAGGGAAGGTTTTATGGCAGACACATAAATTGGCAGAGGAAGTCAAGCTGGCTAAATGTTAACAGTACCTGCATGCAGTCCAGTGTACTCTGGTTAGCAAAGAGATAACACAAAGGGCAAAGGTAAACACATGCTTGAATCTGGGACAGAAAACAATAAATATTAATAAAGTAGAAACACAGCAGTCTGAGTCCAGGATGATGGGAGAACCCCTGTCAGGAGCCTGTGTCACCAGAATGTCTCTTCGTCTTCAATAGCCAACCCCTGCCTTCTGCAGGAACACACATATTCCTTATAATCTTCAAATAAATGGTTTTAACAGACTGAGAGAGGTTGTGTGACAAAGCTCAGGCTATTGGAGGCAAAGAGCCTTTCTCCTGTGACGCACTGGGTTTAAACTGAGAGAAGGAAAGTGAGTGAAACAAAGCAAGTGGAAGGAGACAAGCAGCTGCAAGGAGCAGCTATACTCTACCAGCTCCCTCTGCAACACAAGCTGAGTCAAATCCTAAAATGAAATACATATTTCTTTTAGAAACAAATATGGAAATATTGAGCACAAACCGCAGATATATTCAGCCATCAACTGTGGATGATGACGTGATGAAATGAGTTCTTGCTGTTGGCTCTTCAGCATTGTATTTTATTTTATTATTAAATAAAGCCAGACAAGGGCTTCAACTGTCACCGACTGACTGCACTCATTTTATATACAAAGTGTGTTACACTTACACTGAGAGCAAACACAAAAGTCCCACAATAGCAGAGCAGCCATCTGTTCAAACGGTTTTCCAGGCCCTTCAGTGCTACAGAAATACAAGTATTTTCTGCAACAGCTTCTCGCCAGGTGTTTACATAAGCAGAAACAACTCATTGCACCATGTCCACACTGCTTCTGCTGCAGTGAAATGTCTTTTTTGTACCTTTATTGTCAACTATTACTAATAATGATACTCTTTTGGTTTAATGTAAAGGAGATAAGAAACACCTCTAATGATTTGGTTGTTTTTTTAACTCTTTTGTGTGACTTTACAGAAACTCTGGAAGCTCTCATTTTTATTGTGGCAACTCATTCAAAAGTGCTGGAAGCATCTCAAGCTTGAATGTATGGTGATAGAAGCACTGCATGGTATAAAACAACGTTTATTTGCTTTTCTCCTTTGATGAATAGTCACAGTGGTGTAATATAAACTCACCTCCAGCATCTGAACCACTCCCTCATGCTCCCTCTTGGCAAATAACTGAGCCTGGTGATTAAAAAGATATTAAAGTCAGTGTAATGTTGGTTATTTGCTCATAAAAGCCAGGTTCAGAGCACAGCGAGCTCTGCTGACAACAGTCAGAGCTTTATAGGTGCCCAGAGGTTGCCTCCTGCTGGACAAGACCCCCCATTTCTCATAATATGGATGAAATAAAACAAAGTCTAAAAGGGCTTCACTTCAGCAAAATAAATATATCTGTTAAAGATGGACAAAGGTTCTTACCCTCTGTAACCGTTTGATTTCATCCTGTTTGAACTTAAGGATAGCCAGTGCCTGCTCATGTTCCAATTCCAGCTGCTGCCTTCGCTCGGCGACCTCTCGCATATGCTATTCGAGAAAAGAAATATGATCAGAAGACAGTTTTTCCAAGTAGCATGGTGAGGATCAGCACTGCTCTGTACCTTAAGGACCTGCTCTAGGTTCTCCAGTTTGGCACGGAGTCTCTGGTTCTCCTCGAGAACTGAATTGTGTTGAGCAGTCACTTCAGAGAGATCTTCCCTCAGCTCCTCATTCTCAGCCCGAGTCTTGAGAAACAACATGGGTTAGATGACCAGAATACTTTAAGGGACATTTTTTCTCTTTATAACATCAGTCAGTTTACACTGAAACTAAGTTTTGTTCAGGGTCCATTAAATTATATCACTGCATTATATCATCACTGCATCCTCAAATTTCAGCTTTGTTGGAGGGTAAAATATCATTGTATCGTAAACAAAACAGGACAGAGTTCGGGAGGGCGGGAAGACACTGACCTGGTCGAGCAGCTGTGCCTTCCTCCTGAGGAGATCTGCCTCCTCCTTTAGTTGCTCATTTTTGCCTCGCTCATCCTCAAGCTGGCTCTCCTATGAAGAAAGCACAAGTTCAGGTAAAACTGACTCTCAAATCATCCCTATGTCCACTATAATAACCACACAGCACATGAGAGGGAAACACCAGAGGAACAAGATTGCTTACCAAATCCAGACATCTCTTCTGTCGCTTCTTTACTTCATGCTCAAGGTTTTCACATTCTTTTCTCTTCTTGCTCAGCTCACTTTCCTGAACCAACAATGATAACAAAGCAAAGACAGTTACAATGAATTCTTATTTTAAAATCTGACCATGGCTCTTAAACAACATCTAGCTCTTCATATGGTTTTAAAAAGAGCTAACTCTCAAAGAGCAGCTCGCATACTGTATATAGGCAAAATCATGATAAACAATATATAATATAATGGCACATTATCTTCATTTACATTCAGCAATGCTTAATACATTGGCTTTAGTTTCCATATTGACCTCTGACACACAGCAATGATGTATTACAAAGCTTAGCATCCTTTAATTATTCTAAATGCAGCTTACATGCAGGACCAGCATAGGAGAAATCAGCTTATTTCAGCATGGCCCCAGGACCTTAATCAAGTATTACCACTGTGACTGTATGGGGGGAAGCAACAGAACAGACAGGCTAATTGCAAACCACCTGCAGGAGAGATATTTTACCCTCACCACTGATGACACAGCAAGACAATAACTATAATTAAACTGCAACCTGTGTTCGGAATAATGTAAATCAAGTGAAGACGGTAAACTGGAAATTAACACACATTTTTAAATTTAACACAGACACTCACTTAACTGTTCACTTATTGTGACTACAAGGTATTACTATTGTTTAACAATAGATTGTTAAAGTTCACCGAACCATCCGTGCTTCCCACCATGAGCACAATGACAGAGAGAATAAAGTCTACATTAGGAGATTATTTATATTTTATGGATCTTTCAAACTCAGCAAGGTTGAAACTGTTTTATGAGCAGGCAGGTGACATTTTCACACTGAAATCTGTTATGTTAACTGGATTAAGAGTCAAACAGCCATGCTATCAAATGCTGTTATCATAGTGGGCACTGTAATATAAACAACGTGATGATGTTGAATTAAGCATGAATTAACAATAAACACAGTCATTGGTCACAAAAATCCATCCACTTGGCACCATCAATGTTTATATATTTATGAAAATCTGTCAAACATTATTGAGATATTTCAGTCTGGACCAAACCAACCAACCCTAGCAGCTAAAAATATAACTTGCATGCTCTGTGGGCTAATTTTGCCCAGTGTTTACTCAGCTGATGGGCTTTGTCCTACAGTGTAACTCATTAAACCTGTCTAAGAAATCCCATTGTCTGAGATCCCACTTTTCTCTCCGTGACTCAGTCGTGCTCGAGAAAAGATAGCTAGTTAATCTATGATGTAAGTTTGAGATCCTCTTAACAGACCAAAGATAAAAAACAAACAGTCAAGCTACATTTGAGCTATTTTCAGCATTCTTTATTTAACTAAAACGACAAAGTATTGATGATTTCGGGTACCTCTTGTCCAGTCATGTTGTGTATTCGATATAATGACGGACAATAAAAGTCTAGAATTGCCAGCCATCAGAATTTAAAAGCAGAATCTTACTGCCTGATGAAATACAGCGGTGTTGGCACAATGAGTAGTGACTTTTTCCAACCAGCAACCAGCTTTTTGTAAGAGAACAGGGAGTCATGAAATCCCCAAATGATGGTGAATTAAGCTGTCCCTGTTGTGAATTACAAACACACAAAAAAGATGATGACACACATTCTGTTAATGACACCATTGCTACTTTATAGTCAGTTCTGCTTGTATTGTAAGTTGTTTACAGCTGATGCAATGTCCATTGTCAATGCTCAAACAATAAACAAAACATCTATTCATGTCTGTAATCTCCATTTTGCATCCTGACCAAGTCCATACTGAGCTCAGAGAGACTGTGGTCTATTTAAGCCACGAGACCCACTTGTAGAATCAGTGAGGCCAATGTGCTATTCTTCTGTTTCCAAGGGACAAGATCAAAATAATCCCTGCATTACATAACAAATCTGACCCTGGTTTTTCCTTTGGTGGCAGTCAGTTCAGCCACAGCACTGAAATTCAGGCTGCAGTTTCACATGAAGAAGAAAGTCCTGTCCCTGTAATTAGGCATAATATGCAATTAGTGCTGCTCAGAGATGTTTATGACTCTCATGACTGTTTGGAGGAAAGGACCAGTTTGAAAGCCATGTCTGTGATATTGACAAAACTATACTAAGCCTCTAATTTTAGCAAAAGCAAACAACTGCTCCAACTAGTCCACTGTATTAGATAGTGTTGAAACTTAATAAGGAAACATTTATGAACAAACTACATTCAGGAGCCGCTTTCTCCTCATGCAAAGCAATATTTCCTATAGAAATGGCAGTTTAGCAGTGGTAAACCACGGCATGATTGTACTCTGAATAGTCCTCTACAGATCAAGAGGATTTTGAAGCACCAGCTCAGCACAGTGCTCTCACCAGAAACTGTAAGCGCTGCTCCTCTGTGTGATCCTCCTGACCAGAGGGGGTCGGGCAGAGGCCCGGTGTGGGCGTCACTCGCGGCCCCAACTCCTCCTCCTCTCCGGGAGTCTTCTCACACCTGGATGGAGCTTCATCTAATGCCACACACGGGGTCTCTCCTCCAACCTGACAGGGACAGGAAGAAATATTTACATTTACAGAGATTATTTTAAAAAAGTCCAGATCCAAGGTGGTGGAATAAAAAGCTTCTGCTCTGATCGTAGAGCAGGGAGCAAGTGTGTGATTGTTATACTGTAGTGACACTAAACATTACACCCCCTGCTGTGAGTGAGGGATTAGTGGCAAGCCCCCTTCCCAGTGGTCCACGTACAATCAATGAATAATCCAGGGGAAATCCCTGTAGCCTGCAACATGACTGCAACTCATTAGCAGGAACTTGTCCTTGCTAATTTGTTTGCATGTTAATGACTTAAATGTTTCAGAGTATGTCTTTTTAATCAATTACTGCCACACATTCCTCTTCATTACTTGTATCACTGGTCTAACTGGGATGCAGGTGGGGGACAGGCTGACATTGGTGGGGGGTTAAGAGTCGGGAATCAGTATCTAATTTTAGAGCAAACCTACTTATGCTCAGAGTAGAACTGTGCTAGTGCAGCCAAGGCCATGACCCAATAACAGGATCAAAAGCACTCTGCCACGTGCTGCAGAGGGGATCTCAACTTTACACTCTACTTTCCTTTACATTGTTAATCACTACAAGGCACATTACTGAACACCTAAACACCTACACATAAAATACTCATGAGGAAACTGGTCACTGGATTTTACTGGTATTATAAAATTGTCACAAAAGAGTAAATACATAAACCTGGGAGCACTGGGTTCTCTCATATAAGAAATATAATTACATCTCTCTAGTCATATAACCTGGGTTTGGCCCTTTCACAAAACAGATGCATAAATCTAATATTCAATGATGGAACTGCTAAATCTGTCATGTTAGAGTTAATACACGCAGGAGACATTGAAGACTCAGGGACAAATGCAGTTATATCCTCTATCCATTAAGAAACTGAATATAACAGCACTTATTTGGACTGATGTGTCCAAGTTCTCACTTCCAGCAACCTGTCAATAACAAAACAGAATTGCCTCTGTGGAAGACAACATTTCATTTCTTCAAACAGAGGATTTTTTACTAGTATTATTTGATACTATATTTAAAAAGATTTCATTTTCCCACAAAACATGTATTTTATCCCTATTACTTTCACATGCAACATTAAAAACAATCATGTAGAAGTTTTCGGGCATCAGAGACAAATGCCTGTTAAATGCCTGTGTGTTGAATGTGCAGGTGATTAATGTTCTTCTTACACACATGTCGCAGTTCGCATCAAGGACAGGTTTAGGGTTGTTAGTATTATGTTCGCAGTAGATGACAGACAACCTCAACATAGTTTGATAACTCATTTCGACTGTTCAGCACAGATTCAGTGGCATGCCTGTGAAGTTAAGTGAGGCCATCCCTGGTTTATCTTTTGGATAGGGGACCAGATGGTGTGAGTAGTGGTGACGAAAGGCCAGCAGGAGGCACTAATTCCATTGGCCCGTTTACAAAAACAGCACACAGGAATGAGTACCTTAAACAAGTGCTCTGCTTTTTTTTTTCTTTTTCTGCTCCTGAATCCTTTTTGTGGTAAATAAAGATCCCATCTCATCCCATTTCGTGATCCAAGCCACTTGGCAAAATGTCTTTCTTTGTCTTTGGTTAGTCATTTGGTTAGTTGTTAAAACAGTCGGCCTACTTGTGATTCTTAATTAGCTTGTAGCTCTTCATACCAATCCACTGGGCTGGCTTAAGTGTGTGGAGTTACTTGCTACAATCTGGCAGCCATGCAGCGAGGTGGGAGTGATCCATTACTAAGGTAAGATCCCATAAGTAAATTTGAACAAACCACATCCTTTTATTCATTCCTTCACTATTTGTGTAGCTCTCCTCATTTTCTTTACTCTTTCTTTGGAGTTCACAGCAAACTTTGACCATAAATCGAATAAGATATAAAACTTATGTTTGAGATAGTTAATGGAACTAACTACACAGTGATAACATTTTAAAATCAGTATGTCATACATCAGCCTGCAGGTCAAATCCCTTGAAAAGAGCAATCCTTTTTGTAAAGGGAGCTCACAATGATGAGCAGATATAATCAGGGTTAAGGCAACGTGTGATATAATTCTAACGTGGTTTTGACGAATGAGCACGAGGGGGAATATTACATAATGCTTCATTTATATGATGTTATGAGGACTAAAGGGGCTGTCATAGAGAGTATTAGACCAGGGCTTACAGCTATTAAGAATCATTTTAAAGGTTTTTTTATGCCAACACACTAGCCTAACAAAACTTATGTATTTTAATGGTTGTATGCCTAATGTACAGGAGGAAATGTATTTATATATTTGGAAAACAAAATAAAGACATGGAAGCATTTTATGTAATTGATCAACTAAATATTTTAAAATATTTTTGTGTAAGCCTACCGCATGGCATTGCTTTACCTGCTATATATTGTCCAACTTCAAACTAATGTCTAAGAAGCAATATAGAATCTTTCCACTGATAATTGTAGTAGTACAGACACAGATGATTTTATGGCTTGTAGTTAATTTGGGTTAAATTATTGTCAACGGATTTTCAACTAATTACTCTCCCTTTGGCAGATTTGAGCAGTGATTCGTCTTTAAAAGAATATAAATCAAAATTGATGCTGCAAACAGAAGAATCTTTCAGAGCATCACATCTACCTGGACCAGTGAAGGGACAAATCACCAGTTATTTCAATCGCATCACCAAACACAAGAAATATTAACTAGTTTGAACAATTTAAGAATGTAACATGTTATAATGAAGGTGAAGGGGTGGATCATGTCAAAGCATTATTACAATAGAACATGTAAATAGTTAAAGTACCTAAAGCTTCACTCAGCCTCAGGAGGAAACAATTGACTATTGCATTTTTATATGGAGTATATCTGAAATAGATCATGAATTGATTTAATGAGAATGTTGTGCTTGTATTGGCCTAAACTGGTAAGAAACAGTAAAAAGATGAAAATGACCATGTATAAGAATTTATAGGCAATAAGTGCATCAAGATAAAGACTCATTTTAAGAAATATGGGAGTGAGTATAAAGCTGCTTAGTTCATGTATAGATTTACTGTGTCCATATTGGTCTTTTAATAAAAATGAATTATAACCAACAATGCAACATTGTTTTGTAATTTCTGAGCAACAGTTAGCATTAGCTTCAATTCTAGTAACAAGAGAATGTGTTCTCACTTCTACTCACTAATATTATTGATCCTATTTCTGCTCAGTCAGCAGAACAAAACATTCAAACATTTATATAAACACGTGTTGGTCCTGAAGCCACGGGAGTCAAATTAAATCATCAGTCAGAATTAGATTATTACAGGTCTGAGTGTCAAAGTGTTGGCTCGTCTCAACACTTCACAGTTAACATATCCTCACTTTCAACAACAATGAATTATTAATATATTGTCATATTTCCTGGCAAACGCATTTCTTTTGATAAATTAAAAGGATGCAATCTATCATCTTTTACCTTAAGTTGTGCTCATTATAACTTGAACATGTGCTTTTATTTTAATACATGTAAGGAATTCATAGAGTACAAATGAGCGTTCTCCTTGGTTACATGCAATCAGGCGCTGCGTTCAAAGTCAGGCAATATAAATGTAGTTATTTATAAGTTATTTAAGAGCAGTTCCATCTTGACAGAATGTTGATCTACATCCCTTTGCTGTTTTATTTCAGTGCAGCTTTTCAGTAACTTTTTACAGACTGTACCTGATGGAGGCATCTAACTTTATGTCCTTTAGCTTGACTGTGTTACGACAGATAAGACAAAAAGTCATAATGTGAAAACTGAGAACAGCAGCACTTGTTTAACTTTTGAAAACACAGAAACAATAATTGAAACTCTTTCTCTTGTCTCATCTCTACTGATGAGCTCTTTGAGAATGGAAATTCATTTAAAACAGACACATTATTCATAAGAATTTGCTAAGTGTGATTGTCTGCTACCCGGTTCAGTAACAAACATTAACAGTTGTGTCAGAGTCTGAGCTGCTGTGTCAAGTGAATGAGACTAGGGGGTACAATAAGGGATGCATAAAACATGTATTATTGGATAGTGGATATTATAAATATAGTCATATGCACCATTATAAATAAATAACCTGAAGAAGAATGCAGCCATGTCTTCAGGTTATCCTCCTCCTGAGGTCACGGTGTGTATTTTTGTCGGATGAGCTCCATGTTTAGAGGCTCACCTCTACTTGCACACTGCTTCACACTGTCAGGTGCCATTGTGCACACTTCACACTGCTGTGGTCCATGTATACTAAAGGATCAAGTACACCCTGGGCCCATGCATACTAAAGCAGGGTCAGATCCCATTCAGCAGGCCCTGAATGCTATAAGCACATTGGTATAATCCCTGCAGACTACTGAAACGGGTAACTGGATCACTTCTTTTAAAAGCACCTTAATGGATTGGCCTGGCCGTTGATTTTCTTTTTAATACGGAGCATATCAATGTCCGCCAATCAAACGCTCTACCAGCCTGTCGCTAAGTCGGTCTGTCCAAATTCTACATCTGGAAGCTCCAAAATATGACTGTTACAAAACTGAATGGCTGTCCTTGACCAGGCCTCAAGTGTGTGCCATCTCTCTAACGTGTAAGAAAGTGGTAGTGTCATCACACTCAAGCTGGGATATAAAACTGAATTTAATTTAAAAACAGCAGCCATAAGACCTTAATGAAAAAATCTCCTTCGCTGCACTGAAGTGCTGCATGTAAAATACAGATAATCTTCCAGAATGAGCTGCTGGTTCTAACATGTAACACAAATACAGCACCGGCAGTTTGGTGCCAACTCCCTCACACCCCGGATTCGTCATGACACTCATTTGTTTTCAGTGCCAAGTCCCAAAATTGAGTTCTGCACAGCTTTATTGTCACATCCAAGCAGACACATATGAAGTTAACCAAGGAGAACTGCACAGGACCACAGACACCTACACACAGAGATAAAGAAACCTGTACGACAACCTACCCCTTTCGTGTGATCTGTGGCAACGTCAAGGCTTCCCTTGGCCTGCTAGTTATCCAGAGCAGGGCGAGATAGAAAAGTCCTTAGTGCGGCTGGAGTCTTACCTACCACCCAAAACCCTCTCACCGCTGCCACAGCAACAGAGAGCGGATTACTGGACTGTACCATTCTGTTGTTAGAGGGGATTAGAGTTCACACAACATGGCCCCTTTCTGGGTGTGCGCGTGCCACTGGCAGTGCGTGTGTGCGTCCCACAAACGAGAGATTACCACAATGGGCGTTCTCATTTGAGCTCCACAGGAATATCATTTTACTCCACTCGCAGGCAGTGGAGAATTTTACCAAAAAATAATTTTAAAAATGGATGTTTGGCTTTATTGTGATATAAACTGACAATAATTCAACTATTTTTTTCCTTTAAAATCAAAGGACACCAGTGAAATTATATGTTTCCATACTGCTCCAAAATAACAAATATAAGCCAAACTAAATTACGATTACACACTCATATATCTGTGACTCTGTAACCAGCATGTGCACGTTAAACATTTTGGCCAGTGACTGACATCTCTGAGCATCACTTCAGTGGTGAAGAACTGCGTCTAAGAACTGAATACAGAGCAGATCAGTATTACATGCACAGAGGATCAGAGTGTGTGACTTTGGTATCTTTGATCAGGCCCAAGTTCAAGACAGGGAATCATCTCATTATGGCTTGTGGCAGATTAGTATCAGGTCCAGCCATTATATAACACTGTAAAACAGCGATCATGCCAACATAAACATACACAAGGTTTCCAAAAAAAGACTTTTAGATTACCAACTAAAAGTATAATCCTAATTTAATAGTTAAAGCAACCATCAATGCTCCTTGGTGTAAATACATGATCTGCCCACCAGCTTTTCAGAAACAGTTTTAAGAGCCTTACACTGACTCAAGTAAAATTGTCTGGATAATTTTGACTTTTATATTTCTTAAAACAATCTTCACTAGACTGCAACTATGATAGAATTTTGATATTTGGATGTCAGGTTTAAAAATTTGGACAAGAGTCCAACAGAGGTCAGTGTAGAGTTGAGCTGCACTTTGATACGAGCGGGGGGGCTTTACCTCCTCGTCCCCCTTCTCCTCCTCTGATTCTCCACACTTCTCCAGACCACTGGGGTCGGGACTGTGGTTGTGCTGCTGTGTGGACGATGTGACGGACAATTGCCTCTGGAGCCGCAGCACCTCCCTCTGAGACTCCCTAAGAAGCCTCTCGAATTCCACTCTGCCAGATGGAACAGTGGAGTCCTACACAGACATATAGACATGCATTAGAGACAGCCATAAGATAACGACATCATTAATTTAGCATACTGTTATCAGTGTTATTTAAATTTCAGTTATAACACTGAGTGTATCTCAAACTACAAAACCGATTGAAAGAAAAAATAAAGCCATCTCGAATCCTGTGCATTGTGATCAGATTCTATTTTTTAGAACTGACTTTAAAAAAAATGTTTTATTCTTTTCGGTTTTAAATTTATCTTGCGTGCTTCACCTTTCCTCACTGTCACCCTCATAACGTGATGAAATGTGTTTTGGTTGCATTAGAGATTCAGCACAGTCATTCTAATCAGATCAATGCTCAGCTCATACAGTAAGACCCTTCACTGTTTAACACAGCACATGCTCACAGTATGAGCTGTTAAGTCACTGTACCAGTAATTAAAAACAGGCACTTAGAAAGGCAGCCTATTCCTGCACTGTCATCTAGACATCAGCAATGACGCAGCCTTTGTAATACGGGCTTAGGAGGGAGTTAGGATGAGCAGTGCCTGTGTTGTCCAGCAGAGGGCGAGCTTGTGGCATAATGAGCCTGTGGCAGGGCTGGTCAATAGTGGAACAGGTTAATGTGGCACAGCAGAGCAGAAACTCAGTGATGGTCAGATATGTTAAGAAGGACTGTGGTCTTGATCCGTCTTTCAGTGAAGTCTGAGCTCAGATTCTAATTCATAACCACAGAAGTTAGTGTGTTTTCAGTACCTTGGTGGTGCCGAGCCGTGCCTCCAGCTCCCTGCACTCCTGCTGCAGGGCAGCAATCTCTTTGTCCTTAGACAGTAGTGCATCAGCGTGCTGGGCGAGGTCACGAGCTCGCTGACGGGCAAACGCCCTCTTGTACTGTTCCACTGACCCGGGTCTCATCAGTGACGGGGAGTTCACCTGTAAAGTGCAAGAAGGAAACATACTGAATGAACTTATCAGCGGAGAGGACATCAGAGGTGAAGTCTCACTGAGGCTTCAAACAATATCAATAACTGAAGCAGACTAACTGAGTTTCTGAAAACATCCACAAAATACAGTCTGTTCATTAGATCAGAAACAAAATGTACATCAGCCTGTGACTGTAGCAGTTGGGTGAGAGATGGATGGTCCTTGAGCTGTCTGCTCTACTGTAGCAATATATCTACTTTGTTATATATATATATATCTCTATAGCCTGCTTCAGACATTAGAGTGAATCATAACATATATAAACACTATTGATTCGTTTCATTAGAACAGTTACAATACAATGGTATTGGATTAGATTTGATCATAGTGATAATGTAATTTTTAAGATCTATTTCATATTTCATTTCTTTTCCGTTTAAGTGGCCTTCATAATCTGTCGTAAGATGATACCTAACTAGTGAGCAATTTCAAATACTTGTCCACATGGCGGTGCTGCCTTCATATCAGGTTTTAAAATACTTAATTCAAGAAGTGTGACATGAAGAATGTAAATAATAGTTGGATTTTTGTTTTGATTTATATAATCTTTGTTGTCCTGCATCTCTTTTGTAAGATATTTCCTGGACTTCCTATTGAGTTCTCGTGACTGTTCTAGTGATGCATTAAAGTAGCATCAGTAGGGTGCTGGTATTTTACAACAAGGCTCCCATTCATCACATGCTCAACTATTCCATTCAACTCATTATGATGATGTGGTTATTTGGATGGTGGTTCTTGATAATGAGTCACTCCCAGCATTTGGGTCAGAGTGCAGACAAATAGGCTTGGCAGTTCACTGTGAACTTGTTCGATTTTTAATTTGTGTGTTATACCACTTTGAGGTTTGCCTCCTGCAGTTTCCGAGCTCTCTCTTCGAGCCTCTTAGCGAGAACAGCCAGCTCTGTGTTCTTCCTCCTCAGCCGCCTGACCTTCTCCTCGGTCTCTGGGGCACTGCTCTTTCGCTAAACATAGGGGAAATAAAAAAATCATCAGACAATGCCAGAAGCAAATAGTAACACAGCAATGCACAACAAGATGGTCGCGGGAAATTGAGAAGTGGTTATTAAAGAAGAAGTCAAAAACACTTCCTGGTAGGGGTCTTTGGTATGTGATATGATATTCACCATTTTTATGTTGTTGTTATTTTTATCCCATTACCCATGAAATGGATTTAATTTTATAAATTTGACATTTTGGCTCTGATACAGTTGTCTCTGTCTGTCTGTATTCCCATTCTGTGTGGATTTCATTAAATAAAGTTACAATTATACATAAATATATACATCAAACACACAATTTAAACACTCAAGTTAATTGATTTATTAAAACTAACTCAACATGTTAGCGAACACCTGATTTAATGGGGACATTTACATTGAACTAAAATATTGAATATAAAGTGACATGGAAATTTAATATGAAATTGAACTACAAAAGTCACATTTTATAAATATATATTGGTTCTAAATATTTATTATCAGCCTGTTTCATTACTAATAATGATCCTTTTGCCCATACTTTTATTTTTATCTGTGTGATACCAATTATGTTATAACAATGCACAAAGGTGTTGTATTCAACGTGTCTGTGCACCTGGCCTACTTTCTAGGAAGCTTTGTGTCAAGACTAACTGTTATTTTTAGTCTCACCAGCAGGCAATTTTCCTCCCTCAGTGTTGTGCAAGTCTTTTCCAGCTCATCAAGGGCTCGGAGGAGTTCGGAGTTCTGACGAACCAGGAACCCGTAGTCAGTGCCATTCTGCAAGACGAGCACAACAACAACAGATTCAGTTAACTTCTTTTTTTTTTGGCTTTTCATAATAAACAAAGACCCACATTATTTTTAACAGTGATACAGAGATTGATCTGCATATCTACAACATTGCTTTAATCATGTTCCATCTGTTGGCGGCTTCAAAAGCCCTTCTCTGCTGTTGGCATGTGTTTACATAGCAACTACTTGTAATGGTAACTAATTGTGGCTGACAGATGACAGCACACTGAAAAGACTTTTCATTAGACCAACTCAATTAGTCTACCAGCAGCTCTGAACACCTATTACTCCACAATTACTCAGCATAAAGAGAGGACCAGCTCTGCTCACACATCGCACTATGGAAGAGACTTAAATATGTTATGGCGTTTTAAACATTTTGGCAACAGACTGTCATAACAGTTGTAACTCGGTCACACATATGCAAATGTGAAGTGAATATCAATGGTCAAAGTTGGAGTGGAACTCTACGTGAAGCTACACTGCAATTAGCTTTGTGTGCAGTAGTGATGGAGTAATAATCTTGTTACGTTGTTTTTTTATTTTGAAGGGACAGCTGAACAAAGCAGCATGGCAGATAGTCAATGTGCTGATCAGGACTATCATTGGTGCTTATCATCCATGTGGAGGATAGCTGGAGGTGGTGATGCTGCTGTGCCTCAGTGCCTGTGTCAGGGATGCTCTAAATGAGCTCTAAAGCACAAGGGACAGGTTGAGAGAAGACCTGGCACAGAGGGACTGCAGAGAGAGCAGATGGACAGACAGACAGGGAGAACAGACTAACAGACTAAAACACATTAGACCAAACAGTCATCTGGGCCCACAGGGCTGCTATGGCTACATATATGTGTCCGGTCAATCTGCTGGATGATGAGCTGTGGACAGTTTGACAGGTGAGACATAGTCAAAATTGGCCCACACAGATAAAGAAAGGATCACTGTGGTGGCGTGTGTACTGTCGTGTGTCAGTAATGCAAAAGCACACAGATGTGACAAACCAGGAAATCTGTTTAGACGTCATTGCTGTTTGGAACCTACTTCCTAACTGGAAATATTCCTTTGCCATAGAATCACTTTTCTTACTGCACAAGGACTAATGTCATATTAAACATCCTGATAATATGGCACACTCAAAAGAATATTTGTAACCATCATCTTGTGAGATTATGTTGTCTTGGTAACTGCAGGTGATGGGCGATCTGGCGGCTCTCTGGAGGATCTGTACCTGTGTTTTAAGTCAACACTAATGACCAGCTGTTTACTGAACCAGCAGCTGAGGCTCCTGTGTGTTTATCTTTCAGTACTATTATGATGGTGACATGGGACATCCTGAGTGTCTACTTAGCGGGTCCCAAACCAGTGCCAGAAATACCATATGGTTTCAGGGTAAAACCATGCAGAGCAGCAGAATTAGAGGAAAACTATTTCAAATGCACATGGTGACAATAAAATAATGTTTTAGTAATTGCCAATACTCTCTAAATTAGTTGTAAAACTTCTGCAATCAAAACAAGGATTTAATTACTATTTATCAGTGCAGGCAATAAAAGATTCTTCATGGACGACACTTGTAATCAATGCAGGTGCTGAGTAAGCTGGTACATTTCCATTCAATGTGAATGCTCTCTTCCAGCACAGTTTGGCACTATAGCTTAAGAACTGAGACACAAAATGTCATCCTTTTATTGTAAATAACAAAAGCTGCACATTAAATAATTGATATGGAAACTACTGACCCTCTGACATCAACAGACACGACTTATCCTTGAGATTTTCACAAAATTTAAATATGGTTGATACTATATGGTTGAAATTTCTTCTAAAATAGACATTTCATGTATTTTAATCAGCAATTATCCCTCTACATGTTTGCCTTTATTGGTAGTGGTGGAGTCTACCAATACAAACATATAATATAGTGCAGTAGGCACAGGCCTAAAGTGTGTGGGACCTTCTCTTCTGACCCTCCTTACATGATGTATTAGGGTACATTGAAAAACTGCAAACAAAAGCTTGTCATAAAATCCTGTGAACAGCACTTCATGAGCAGACTATTTGCTATTTGTTCACGATGAATGCATTTTCCAGGGACAGATGGAAACTGCTTATTCAACTATCTTGGCTTGATTTATATGTTGTGCGGTAATGTTCCATATAAGAGAGAGCTCTCTGTCAAACTTTCAGCTCTTTTCTTGATCACAGTTCAAATGCTGTGATTCTTTCATGTGAACATGGTACTTTTTAGACACATTTAAAAGCATGAGGTCACAAAACAATTTACTCCTTCTCCTAACAATATCACATCATATTTATGCATCACTCAGAGCAAGCTGCAATCACTCAAAAAATGCTTTGTACTCGAAAACTGATTTTCACACACAATATTGGATTTACTTATATTTCGGGAAACTACATCATGCTGTGTTGTAAGCAGAAGGAATGATCCAAGAAAGTAGGAGCAGGAATTGTGCCGTTAACATGGTTTTCTAAAAGTTGTGGCTGTAGATACAGGGGCTGTTTCTCTATTCATATTCCCATTGTTCATATACTCATCTGCTGAAAAATGTTACTATGAAACAATTTTTAATCAAACAAGAGGTCAGTCACTAAACTGTAGCTATATCAAAAATGATATTAGTTCCTTGACAATTGGCTGTCTGTGGTTTACTAGTTCAGTGCTTTTCAGCTGAGTTTGTACTACATGGGAGCTTTGACATGGAGCATGGCACAAACAGATCTAACAAAAGAAGTAAAAACCAAAACAAATTAAACTCTTAAAACAATATGTCATGCACATATTAAATTGTAAGACTTAAATACTAATGGAAAGCATTTAAAAACTAGAATGACACTCAGTAGAGTGCAGACCTCCACCAAGGTCCAACAGTCCCCTCATGAAACCACATATAAATCCCCTAGATCCAGAATGACGATGATACTAAAGCCCAATCTATCACATTAGAGGAAGGCCTGCCAGAACGAACTTAGCTTCCACCCTCTTCCATTCTGATTCTAATGATCTTGGAGTCCATCCATGTCTTGTAATTGTTCGCTGTGAATCATACTGAAACACCGGAGGCTTTTCCTGAAGCATGAGGTAATGCTGGCTCCTTGTCAACTAAAGCCCACCCTGCTGCCACAGAAAAGAGCTGCAGGTGGCGAGGTCTTCTCAAGGCCAGTGTATTAGCATTCAGACATCTCCTCTCCCTCTCTCAGTGGTGCTGTTTTCACATGGGTCTGGCTCACTGAGCAAGGCAGATGTAACTCAGTGGCAGGAGGGCAGGGGTCTCCATACAAACGTCTGTCAGAGGAGCCTGAGCCCTGGGCAGGGCAGATGGGCCTAATGGAGCCATCTTCCAATGCTCTGTTTGAATCTGTCTGCAATAATTGTGATGACAAGCAGATTATAACACACACACACACACACACA